GGGGGAGAAGAGGCATTCATAACAATACATAAAAAAAAAATGAATGTTAAAGCTTACCTTGGCTAGTTTAATATTAAACACAGCTAACATTCTTGCAGACCTTTCATACTCTTTTAAGAACTTTGATAAACCAGGAAAGTCTGAAATTAAATGAAGCCTAGTAATTATTTGCAACAATCATCAAAGGAACTAAAAAGGAAAAGTTTCTGGACATAAAAACCAGGTTGACCCTTTAATAACAATCCTTCTCATGCTGTATAATTATAAGACAGTGGTGAAGTCTCTTTATATCCATATGAAATATGAAGATCATTGTTACACTGAACAAAAGAAATTTTAAACCACGGTTTCATTACTGCTCTGCACTTATGAAATATAAACCAGTTTACAGAAAGAAAACAGGTTTTATTCAATGCACATATAGGTTACAATGGCCTTGTCAATCCATGTGTGGAACAGGAATGATAGGTGAAGGAACTAGCCTTTTGTTGACCACAATGCCCATAATTATTGAAAGAACCCAAGTAGCTATGTGGGTATCCAGTTATATATATACTTGTACGTAAGTGTAAACCAATATCCGCATACTACTTTGTGCAGAAGTAAATTTAGAGAATTTTATGCTTTATACATTTCTTTCTTAAAGGTTTTTTTATACAAAATGATCAGTTACCCATGTTTATGCAAACGGTTTTACATCCTTTTTAGATAAAAAAAGAATTTCTTCTGCTAAGTGTACTAAAAGGGCAATTGTATAAATTATTTCCAAGACTTTTAATCAGATTTTCTTTGACTTTTTTATTCGCATTTAAGACCTGACATGATATCACAAGAATAGTTTTATAAAGTTTTCATAACATCGAGGTGACAGCTGAGCAGGAGAAGAAACGCGCAACTTCAAGACCAAAATGCTACCACACCTCAAGTTCGAACAATTTTCTTTCAATTCATCCTTTAAGTATTTCTTTTGCAGTATTCGTCATGCACACCTGTTGCCAAATTGTATATGAGCAGAAATAATTGAAAATCTAAGCAGGATGTAAAGCTTAAAAGTTTCACTCCCAGCCATATGTTCTTGTATGTTATGAAACTTGGATTGACTGACCTTTTTTGAAAAAATATACAGCAGTAACCGTGGATGACTTGATGAAATTATTGTAGCTTGCTTCGTCCAATTCTTTGGCTATTAACTCTTGTGCTTGACATGTGCTGAAAAAGTAGAGCACCACAAGTAAAAGACACGATACCGTAAGACGAGCCATGTTGACTGCTTGCTGCTCTTGCTGCCCTTTGACCTAATATTGTCCCAGTTTTTCGTTTTTATCCCCAAGTGGCGCTCGCATCCAAGAGGTCCCATATGACGTTAATCAAAGTTTGTGAATAAACGCAGTGCTCCTATTTTAGCAATTAGCACCATACGGCTTGTGTCATACCAAAAGAACGAAGAAAAATTATTTGAATTAAAATTTGTTTATCACCGAAGAATTATAAGGTTATTTAAGCTTATTAAACAGATATTTTTTAGTTTATCGTCCCTCCCTTGACCTATATTTGCATAATCTAAGATGATGTCAGTCTACGCAGGCGCACCTGCTCCACCCTTCCCATAAGCCCACGAAGTCGGCCATCTTGAGTTCAGCTGGGAGAAGCTGAAAGACAGGAAAGGTTGAAAGGATTGGAAATAAGATCCTTTGCACATTCAGAACGAGCGTAAAAGGGATCGCGCCGAAGGTATAGCTGCAAAATAGGAAGAACTGTGCCGATTTGTGAAAATCTATTGTATATTTCAAGTGTTATCTTTAACTAAAAGTTCGTCATGTAAGTCACTGTAATGTTTCATCCGTCGACTGTCAGACGTACATGCCTTATTCAATTTGGAGGTTGTAGAGGCATAAAGGGAATTAAAGTTGCTGGTGGATCTACCATGAGATAGCATCAAATACGCTGTAAAATCTACCATCGCACATCGCATCAAAATGACAGCTATAGATCGCATCAAGAAGCTGGAGACACTGTATTTGGGAGGAGTAGGGAACAGTGATATGCTGGCTCTCAGTATGGAAACACTTTTGGACGTCCTCGTAGTGTTGTATGATGAATGCTGTGGCTCTACTTTGAGGAGGGAGAAGAGTGTATCTGAATTTGTGGAATTTGGTAAGTCTATGTGCCACTTAAGGAATGTTGATATATCTGTAGTACAGGAGCATGAGAGCAGGAAATATAACCAGAGTGATATTTGTTGTAAATAATAAACCTCTTTCTTTATCATGAAGAGAGAAGTGATTATTTCTTGACAAGTTCTTGTGGTGGTCATATATTGTAATTAAGATTTTCTTTCATATTGGCTTTACAATGGTTATTATTTCTCTTGCAGTTCAAAATATGTGCCTCCATTAAAATTGTTTTGTACCTTTGTATTCTTCCAAGCGTGTCATATTTTATCAGTATCAGAGATTTGGACAGTTATTGTGTGAATTGAAATCTTAATTTTTCCAGACGAATTAGTTGATGGAACATGTGCTTGGATAATTAAAGAAAACAATCAATACCTGAAAAGATCGTAGTCACATGGTACTGTATGACTCATTGCAGTCTCCAATAAACCTTGACATATGCTAGGTTGTAGTATTTGTGTAAATATGAAGGTGAATGGTTTCCTGAACTTATATTGTGGAGTGAAGAATTTAAGCACATTTGTCTATTGACATGTTTGTCAGCATGTCTTTCATTGGTGAATGTATATGGCTGAACACAGTTCAGTTATATTTGGTTATTATTGACTGAAGCAGCAACTGTTCAAAGTTTAAAAAAAAAGTACAGAAGCCATTTTTAGTAAACAATGAAGCGAATTGTGCTAAGCAAAGTAAAGTTTTCTGATTTACTGCACCTACTTATACCAAGGAGATTATTGAAAGAAGGGGGTGTCTAATGAGAAAATGCTGAACTTGAGATCAATATATTCTGTTCCACGCCCTTGTACTAACCACACGCCCCCTACAAGCTTCCTCTAGGGTGCTTGTGTATTGCAGAGGAAAAGGTTAGGTCAAAACCTATCACTTTGGCTTTGGAGCATATACCTGCTTCCTTACAGTCAGTCCATTAGGTTTGTTTTCTTCTTTTCTATAAATGTTGACTCAACAAACAATTGAGTTGTGCATAGGCTCAGCAGCAGAAATATATTGTCTGGCTTCTTACCTCTAACATTATCAAGACAATTTTGCTTTCCAAATGTTCTCTTTGTTTTCCATTGTAAAGAACCAAAAATATCAAAATGTGGGTGATTAGTTTAACAAAAGGTCTCTAAGTGCGTAGACCTCAGGCATGGGAAAATTCACCTGAGCCTTAACATCCGTTGCAAGGCCAAAGTTTGTTATAAAGGTGATGAAATTGATAAAGGTGTGGATTTTGAGGGTTTTATTTTCAAATCAAGATATGCAAAATAGTTAGAATTGAGACTGATATATTGTGCACTGGTGCAATGTATGCTTTTATTATGTCACTGCATTGATAGAAATGTTTTGCTGTGGCATGCGTTTATGCATGTGTCCATTTCACTGCTCATTCTGCTCTTTACAATTTAGAAGTGACACCATTAATGATTAAGAATAAGATCGTGCAAGCTTTTTTTTTTTTTCAGTTGTCTTGGCTCCACTTTTATTGCATTTCATAGATCCACTGTCTTTTCCGCAGACCTGTCTATTACTTTTAATCTAGAAAGATCAGTTTCTAACTCAAAATTAATTCATCATAATAATTAATCAGGCAAGATCAAAAGCATTTATGCTTCTAAGAATCCCTCAAGAGTTCAAAGGGAAATATAGTGCAATAAATAAATGTGCATTGCCTCCAATGTATAAAGTACCTGTTCTTGTCATTTTCTATGAATCATCAAGTTATCTTTGCCAACAGCTCTGACCTCCAACCCAGATTAACACCTATTTTTGGTGTATTAGATGATAAGAAAGCAATGTGTGTGTAAAGATTAGACTACCCTTAAGCTCATGTCGTCTGTGAAAATGAATTATGTGCTATGGAATTTAATTGCATCAACCATTTATAAAGTTCTCAGTTTTATGTTAAAGGTGTGCCTCTACCACTGTGCACGCCCAATAGAACATATTTTGAAAAGTTCATTTTTTTTTTTTTTTTTGCACTTAGGGGTGGGTATAATGAGACCTATGTTGTTTTTTTGCATTCACTGCTTCATATTATTATGCTATGGCAATATGTATCAACAGATATTTTGGTAAATATAGGCTAGCTATGACAATATACAATTCACATTTTGTGTCATTTTAGACTCAATAAAGCATAGATGGCATATAAGATTAGGAATATTATTAGATTAAAGGCATTAAATCTACCCACTCTCAGGTGGAGTAAGAGCTCTGAAGTAAGAAAACAGTGCTCTCTTTTACTAGTAACATTATCCAATCAGACTTTTCATTTTTTCTGCAAAGATCATCTGTGCTGTAATTGAATTTGTGTTTACACTAGAGACTAAATCAAGATCATTTTGGCAAACCTGTATGAAAGAGGAGGTGAAATGTCGGTTTCTGTCTGAGCCACCACATTCTGATTCTTTTGGTTGATAAATTGGTCAACAAAAAAAGTACCATGTCACATTAATCGCTCATTTATCTTTTACTGAATGTTGGAACTTAGTTGAAATTCTTACAACAAATGTTGAAATTTACCTTTTTTCTACACATTTATTGCATTGCTTTTTTGACGATGTCTTCACTGTTCACAGTGATATAATAGTACCACAGCGGTGGCCTTTACCAGCTGTGTCACTTTACATCAAGACCTCAGTCATCAAGGCTCGGCAAAGAAGTGATTTGGTGACAGTACTGTTGATTTAAGTAGCTTGATTTATTTGGGGTGCCGACATATCCCTTCATTGAAAACAACCTTGTGTTTGCACAAGGTAAGGGAATAGAAAGAATATATGCAGGAGATCTATTCTTGGCCTTAAATCTTATTCAGTATTTGACATACTTTTTTGTGTTGTATAGATGAGTTAGCTGTTACTGTTCGAAATTTTGATGGTGGCTGGAGAAAACTGCAAGGCAGATACATTACTGGATGTTCAAATTCTCTGTACTGGAAATAACATCATACAAGACAGTCACACACCCAACTTCATATAGAAAAATAAAATAATACAATAATGGATATGTCTGTTGTGTACTGGAAAAAACATTGTGAATGGCTAAGATATTGTGCAGGGGCTGTGATGGTGTTTACCTTCCCTATAAGATGCCTGACATAGCAAACCCTCCTTCCTATTGTACTTGATATTTGCCCAACTTCCCGACATGACCCCATCCATTCAGAGGCAAAGAATATTGTAGGCGAGTAGTCAGACAAGTATAATGTTCTGTATATGAGCCAACAGCCTCAAAGATTATTGGAGTTTGTTTAGGCGAGTGGGGTGCCGCCTAGATCTTGTATTTTGCTGGATCATATCATTTATGAGGGTGGGTCACAAGGAAGAGAATGTCATATATCCCCGATGAAAAGTTTACTTTAAGGATTTGATTGTATAGATTTATTGCACGTACTTGAGCAACTAAGGTTTGAATGTTGTCCACTCCAATATGGTGCAATATAGATTGTCTGCTCTGTTATGACCATGTTGTGAGTTGTTATATATTATTATTTGCACAGTCAGATTCCTAATTCATTTTCATATTCATAAAGATTTGAACTTTTCCCTTCTTTCAACTTTTCAGGTGGGAAAACATACATGTTGTTTACTCTTACAAAGTTATTACAGAGGTATTATATCATACACATGAACACACATATAAAAATATACACATGCATACACAATGGGTATTAAACAATGATTATTATCAATCTTTTAACTTAAGTTTAAGTTTGATCAGTCATTGAAAAAAATAAAAGGGAATATCATTCTATGCTTAAGATAACATTTGATGGATATTTTACCATGTTGTTGTTGTGGTAGACTTTTTGTTGACCAAGGTTGATGTTCTCTGTTTGAGATTGAAGGGAGTTCCTTATTGTTCAAGTGTATTGGTATTTCTGCCAAATAAGATTTCAGAAGAGGGAGTCGATTGCAATAGAATTTGTTTGGTCAAGTATCTCACACCTTGAGCCAAGTCTAACTTTACATGGTTAAGGTTACAATGGCATTGACTTGAGCCATGCCTTTACACTGCTCTGAACCAATAAAACCATAGTTATTGTTACATCATTTAGAAAGCAAAATTGAAAAGTTACAGGATCATGTGTCCTAGGGGGGAAGTGTTTGGTTTATGCTAGATTGGATAGAAAAACTAAGTGTGTCCAAGCGTTAGACAGGAAGATAGAAAGAGAACTACTTAACCCTTGGCATTTGAGTCATGGTGTGAAAAAAGGTCAGTTTTTGATGATGGTTTAGAAAGATAGTGATTAAAGCAAGGGTGTTGCTAGTGGAGCAGGAGCAATTTTTTAATCCAGTCCAATAAACAGATGGAATTTTATTGAACTTGGAGAAAAAGTGGTTCAACTGGTGTGCATTTCTTTATTTGTATTAATTATATTGATATGTGCTGGTCTGCAAATGTCACATTTCATGGCATCTGACATTAATCAAGGCAATACTGTTCCCAAATCTTGATTTACAGTTGTTTTTGACAATCGTTTTTTAGAAAGAATGTCTTCAAAATATTGTTTGGATTAAACTTTTTAGTGAATTGAATTTTATGAATACAGGCTTGGCAAGCTTTTTTGATACAACATAAATGATAAGGAATAAAAAATAGAACATAACAGTTGTTAATCTGCATTAGGTAACAGACAATAAGATCATATTTTCTTTAAATGTAAAAACTAATGTCACAAGATAAAAAACAAACATATTTTTAAGAAACACTATCCATGCATTTCTTCTTGTCATTTTTAGGTCCCTGGGTACATAAGTAAACTAAATTGAATTAGATTGTTATAGGACAACCCCAAAACTCCAAAATATAGACATTTTACTCCCCCCCCCCCACCCCCTCATTTGTGTAATGCCAATAGAAAACAAAATAAGTTCCTTATATCCTTAAATTTCAAAATGGAGAAGATCCTAGAGAAACCATAAAAAAGATAAAGTTCTACAAAGTGGCCTCTTTGTGATAGGTGAGTGTGTGTTTGTTGTCAGTGGGTGGGTGGGGAGGTCTCATCACCTGCATACCAGTCTCTACCTGATGTAACCAGCAGCTGTGGATACCAACCCCATCTGCTCAGACAAGCACCCATGACTTAGATATAGTCTGGATAGTTATATATCAATCAGGAATGGCAATGTCTCTATAATGGCAAAACAAACGTGTAGTTGTGTAGATTCAGTTGTGATATATAAATTATTATATATTCTCATTTTTTGCATTCTAAAGGATTACAATGTTCTAATTTTTGATGCCTTGCAAATTAGATTTTTTTAATTGGCAGAATTTGTATTTTGAAGAGGGAATGCACCTATTTGGCCATGTATGTTAAATTTATGAAAGGATTTATTTTTTAAATTAAATCCTTGCATAATTTTGAGTTATTGATATGATATTGCAATATCAACTACCTTTTTCCTCATTAACACAAGAGGACTTTAATCTTTTCCCAAAAGTTTTAGTTTTATGAAAAACCCGACATTCACTCCCGTCTCATAATACAAACATGACATTTTAACAGAGTAGGCTGCATCGACAGTATGTGGACATCAGTCTTCATTTCCTTTATTACTGCATGAGTTTCCCTGCTGAATTGATAAGTGATAGGGCCAGGGCTGTGATGGGTTGTAGGGTGATTATTTCCACTGAATGCTATCTCACAGATCAATTGCTTTGGAATATTACTTTGCCCATCTGCCTGGATAAAAAAAAAGGAGAATACAAAGTTGGATTTTGTTCTATCAACCAACTACTCTATAATGATCATTGAAACTTGAGAATCGGGGGCCTCATAGATTTTGACTGAAACAGACTGCCAATAAACCATATTTTGTTTAGCATGAACTTTTATATTTTGTTCTAATATTTAAGCACTTTTCTTCATAACCTCTTTGTGATATTTTTCTGCCCTTTGTTGTTACATATGGAACATTTTGGTCTTAAAGCTTGCTGTTTCAACCACGAAAGGGTAAAATGACTTAGCTTTTTTCATGTAAGAAGGCATCACAATAGACATGATCCATTTAAATTGAACTTCAGATGTCTTGACCCAGATTTTGATGGAAATAGAATGAATGAGATAGGAATATGATAGGTATGCCAGGTACAATTGCTGTATTGACCTTGTGCAAAGAGCTTTAGAACATAATGTATTTAGAGTTTATATGATGATATGAGTTGTGGAATGCATGGAAGATTGCAAAAATTAATCAGATATACTCTGATAGTTTGCACTGGAAGGATGGTCATATCTGTTAAAATATAAATATGTCATTCATTTTTCCTGTTGTATCAGAAGTGCCATTTATATTTTTTAATTTGTGCATACACATATATTATTTTATTGGATTTTTCATTTTAAAGAAAAGCTTAATATTAATTTTTTAAAATTTTTATTTCAGCCAAACCAGTAGTAGCCAGGATAAAACAGCTACGACTGCAACGGGATGATTTTGAAATACTCAAAGTTATAGGAAGAGGTGCATTTGGAGAGGTAAGGGTTTGTTTCAGATACCCATGCCACTTTTTGAAGTATTTATGTGATTGTAACTGAGATGTTTGATAGTACTTAATACCAAATGTATTTAGGAAGAACAAATCAAATATTTACCTTAGTTTGTTCATATCTTTTCATCTCTAAGAAGGACTACAGCAATATACATTTCTTTGGTTTACTTGTTTTAGTTTCTCTACAGCCATAATAACCTTGAATTTGAGAATAATGATGCCCTCATCCTTTTTTTTTAAGTTTACCAAGCAAATCTTTCAGTATACTTTGTGTATCATGGGATTTTGAAAGATGAAACCACTGATGCAAAAAAAAAAAAATTTTTTTTTTTGGGGGGGGAGGGATAAAAGTGATGAAAACAATCTCTTTTTTGTTACAAAGAACATTTGCTTTATGTTGCTGAAATGTTGATATTTTCTTTGCACCATAGGTAGCTGTGGTCAAACTGAAGAACACAGACACTGTGTATGCTATGAAGATCCTCAACAAATGGGAAATGTTAAAAAGGGCAGAGGTAGGTGTTCTAGTCTTTAACTATAAAAAAGGGGAATCTAAAGGTGAAACCATGACTATTGGCAGGTACAAACAGTTTGGAGGCCTGATGTACTCTGCCTAGTTATAGTTCTAGTGATTCACTATTTTGACATGGTAGTGTGTGTGTGTGTGTGTGTGTGTGGGGGGGGGGGGGGGGATACTTTTGTGTTTTTGTACTCAAAGGCTTGGTTTGACATTGAGTGTAAGAAAAAAGGAATATTTTTGTATTGTACCATAAATGGATATCGCAATTTTGGATACCACATCTATATTCACTGAACTCAAACATGCTTGGTATGGTCTGTGGGTTGAAGGAAAAAGAAGTTTCTGTGATTTTAAATATGCTATATGGTGTTCTCTAGCAAAGTATGCCATGGTACTAAACCTATTTCCCAAAATTTCTGTTGTTTAGGGTGATCTGAAAAAGTGCAGAAGTTGCTTCTTGGCGTGCTTTTGTCAGCTGTGGTATTAAATCCCAGTTAAAGGAGACCATAAAGCAAAGCACATGTCATAGGTTTTGATGGTGTTAAGCTAATTCTTTAAGTACACATTTCAATCCATACAGTATTAGTGTCAAGTTGGCCAGACATATTGACTTGTTCAGGCTAAGGTCTGCTAAAAGTGTAGGTGCCAAAATCAATTGCTAAAAGTGCCCTATTAACAAGAGCTTGGTTTGGGATAGCCTTTAAAGAAAAGTGCTTTTTTTGTGATATGTTGTTGATGTTTATTTGTTTGGTTACGTTATCCAGGCAATACTATCAACTGAATAATATCAGACTGATAATGTTGGAAAGAAGTAAATTTTATGTTACTGTACACATATAGAATTGAAGTCTGTTTCATTATTGTCATTTCATATGATAAATTATTATTCTAAATGTATATATGTATGTATGTTATTTCAGACTGCCTGCTTCAAAGAGGAGCGAGATGTTTTGGTAAAGGGGGATAGACGGTGGATTACAAACCTCCACTATGCCTTTCAGGACGATGACTACTTGGTAGGTTATAAATACTTTTTTTCATGACCTTTTTGTCTATTTATGTGGTGGTATAGGTACTGTGCGTAGATAACATTTTATGTAGCCAAAAAATTCACCCAGTTGCACTGTGAACTTGAACACACTTAGCATACAGAAGATTTACCTGGATTATATAGGCATTCTTCCAAAGACTGCTCCACTCGACATATTGGGGTATACATAAACTATATATCTTTCAACAGAGAAAAATCAGCTTCACCAATGTATCCCTATAATATGAACAGAATGAAACGATCTCTTATCCTAGATGTTAGAGGCGGAGGAAGTGATGTCACATTGAAATGGGGGGGGGGGGGGGGG